CCCCCTCCCCCCCCTCTCCGCCGCTCTTCCCCCTTCCCCCTACCCTTCCGTTACCCGCGGCTTCTGGGTCAGATACCGTTCTCCCGCGCTTTCTGTTCTGTTCTGTTCTGCCTGTTGTGCCCTCTGGATCTTGCTGACGTGTCTAATCATGATTGGTCACGCGTGATCATGATCGAGGTATGATTAATCATGTACCGCATGCATCGCCATCATATCCATCACCATCACGTGTGCCACATACATTGTGTTTGTAATTATGATCAATAACCATCACCTTCATCATCGTAATCGACTCATCCTTCTTTTCTTATCAGGTAGTTCAGCCATGTCATTCTGTCTTTCTTTCTTTCTTTTTTTTTGTTTTGACATCCTGCTTATTCGACAACTCAGCTACGCCATTCTTTCTTTGCTTTTTTTTTTTTTTTTTGGCAACGTCATTCTTTGTTGTCTTAATCGGCCTATCGAATCCTCATCATCCTCATCGTCTTAATCGTCTTAGTCGGTCATTCTTTTTTTTTTTTTTTACAACGTCATGATGGTTTTACTTTCAGTTCAACGTCATTTGTTCTTGCCATGGCCACCATCCTCCTCATCCTCCTCATCCTCCTCCTCGTCCTCCTCCTCCTCCTCCTCCTCCTCATCCTCCTCATCTCATCATCGTCATCCTCATCATGATGATGATGTTCTTGCCACAGATCATGACGATGATCATGATTGCCGTCATCATGATCGTCATCGTAATTAGTGCTCTAGCATCATCATCGTCGTCATCTCGATCACGGTTGCCGTCATAAGTGTTCTCAGCACTAAGTTAATTGAAATTAATTAGCATTAAATTATTAATTTATATATTAACTAGCGGTTAAATCAGTTAAAGACATGTTATCTTGCACGATTTCCTCCGGCGGGAATATGTGGTCGAGAGATCCTTCGCCGTCGCCCACGTCCGCGCCGTCTTTCGTAATCGTTGTCGTCATCATCAATGTAATCTGCTGTGCATGTTGTCTAACTCGTACCGTTGATGACCACATCACCAAAATTGTTAATGACATATCATTCTTAATTTTTGTCCAAATTAAAATTAATAATGTCATGGTATTTTTCACGATTTCATCGAAATCATGGTCTAGCAGCATGATGGTAATGATGATGACGCCAATTTTATGATGATGATGATGATGATGATGTGATCTTTTGATGGTAGTGATGATGTCATCATTAGTCAACATCGCACTCCTCGTCGTCATCATGGTGGTTGGGATGATGATGACGCCGATGATGATGATGATGATGATGATGATGATGATGAGGATGATGATGATGATGATGCGCCGCCCTGGACAGCGAAATTATCGTCAGCCTAATCATCATCGTGTGCCGACTCATCATCATCACTTCCTTCGCTTAGCCCCCATCGCCATCTTCCTCTTCTTCGCGCTCTTTTTGGTTGTAGTCTGGTCCATTGAACCTGGTCCCAGCCTGGTCCTCGGCTGCAAAGAACTTGAATCACATCACTCAGCTTTTTCCATTTTTCCATTTTTCCATTTTTCCATTTTTGCATTTTTGCATTTTTCCATTTTTCGAAAATTGAAAATGCGATGATCGAGTCAGTAATTAGGGTAAAGATACCGATACGTAAGATGGGTGGGTGGGTACGTGAAAGCGAGAGATCGACTCCCTACCCTGTTCTCTCGCCCCACCCCCTCCCTCCTCCCCTCTTCCCTCCTCTCTGTCTTAAGCGAGAGATTTTAATTTTCATATAATTTTGATTTTTTCTGCCGTCCCTTCCGCCACGGTTTTAATTTTAATTTTGGTTTCAATTTTGCTCTGGTTGGTTTCTTCTACTGTCTTAGTTTTATTTTCATTTTAAAATAAAATTTTCATTTTAAAATAAAATTTTCATTTTAAAATAAAATTTTCATTTTTAAAAAATAATAAAATTTCCGAGTTTTCATTTTTTGAAACTGGAGGAAGGCGGGGATGACGTCAACGTCAAGTCTGCATGGCCCGCGGCGGATCAGCATCCCGCGGTGAATTTTTTTTTTGCGGTTAGGGGTCAACGCACGTGCTGCAATGGCATTGACAATAGGAAGCGAACTTAGGCTTTTTAATAAGGCGGGGAGCGAATTTATCCTGAAACATTGTCTAAGTTCAGATTGTTCTCTGCAGCTCGCGAAATCATCGCTACCTTCTTCCGCCGAATACAACGTACGGTCATTATAGCTGTGTATTTAGACTGAAAGGTACCCCAAATTCAGATATAATGACCGTACGTTGTATTCAGGGGAAGACTGTAGTAATCGCGGATCAGCATGACGCCGTGAAAATGTTGAAGTTTGGGGGTCTCTTCATTTATAAAGAGGGAGAATAATTGTTGAAATGCCCCTGTAAAGGTTGGGGTAGTTCGTTAGATACCCCTAAAAGTTATGGGTATGGAGAAATGCCCCTATGGCAGATGGGAAACTTGTCGAAACACCCCACTTGCCACTTGGGACCTGTCAGCAATCGTTTGCTCCGGGACAGGGGCAGATGCAGAAGTTTGGGGGGCATTTCTGCGTACCGCTGTGTTTTAGGGGGGGTATTTCATGTGATGCCCAACTTTTAGGGGTACATCTGATGAAATACCTGAACTTTTAGGGGTGTATATCTGATGATATACCTGAACTCTTAGGGGTATATCTGATGAAATACCTGAACTTTTAGGGGTATATCTGATGATATACCTGAACCTTTACTGGTATATCTGATGATATACCTGAACTTTTAGGGGTATATCTGATGAAATACCTGAACTTTTAGGGGTATATCTGATGAAATACCTGAACGTTTAGGGGTATTTCAACAATTTTCCGGATTTTTGAATTTTATGTTGTCGATTTCGAGTGGTGTTGTGTGTGCGTGTGTACCGAACTGTTGGTGGATTTCTTGACACGCGCACAGACAGGGCGTACTTACTACCGGTAGCACTTCTCTAAATGTATCTGACTGCAGTTATGGATAGACGTGGATGAATCTGAACGCAATTACGGCCAGAGCTTCTTAGGAAAAAAGTCGATAGTGTGTGTATGCATGCCCACACACACACACACACACACACACACACACACACACACACACACACACACACACACACACACACACACACACACACACATGCTTTTCCTTCTGTGGAGGTGTGTATAGCAAGCCGGACAACGCACAACACGGCCTCGCTAAGCTCCCCCTTTTCGAGAGGACTGATGCGGCTTTTGCTTCTTTACCCGTATTCAAAGTGCGGTAATAATCGCTGTATTTAGACTGAAAGGTACACCGGATACAGTTATTGTGACCGGACGTTGTATTGGGGTGAAGAAGGGTAAGGTCGGGACTGTACTGCCGTACTAGCGGTCATGCCAGGGGGTATCGATGACTGAGTGGGGGTGTAGAGTGGGTTTAATGGCTGGGACAGACTACCGTCTTAACCCGAATAGAGCGCCCGGTCATGATAGCTGTATATGGGGCTACTTTCAGTCTACATACAGCGATAATGACCGGGTGTTCTATTCGGGTTAAGACGGTAGTCTGTCAGACTTTAGTGCCACTCTGTGAGTAAAGTCGACCACTATTCTCTCTTTCTGCTTTTTTTTTTTTATTATTATTTTTTTCCCGTTGAACGAATTACATACGTGCACTTTTATGTCGTATTTTCTTACTTTTTTTTTTTTTTTTGAAGAAATTAAATTAAATACGCGCGTTTGGTTTGGATGCAAGAAAAGGCAAAAGAAAAAGATGAAAATAAAGAAAAACGTTTATTCAGAAAAAGAAAGAACAGAATAAAGGGTGGGTATTCCTGCTAACTCTGGGCGATGTGGTGAGTGCTTATCCATCAGTCGGCCAAATGCATCCTGGGCCTGGGCAGACTTTCTGTCTAGGTTCAGCCTCCTGACGGATGATGAGTCGGTGAAAATCCCCGACCAAACAGTATGGCACACAGTCGCGATTTTTTTTTTCCGTTTTTTCTTTTTTTGTTTGTGGAGTTGTGTGTAGCGAATATGACAACACGAAAAAAAATTAAAAAAATAAATGACAACACGCATTTCCATGTACTCGCAGAAATCCACTACACACACTAAACCCTCGACCCTCTGCATTTTCATGTATTTAGAGCGATTTTCAGGTCACATACAGATAGAGAAATCCAACACATGAACAGGTCTGTCAGTTACACGAACTTACAGAAATCCACCAGACACACAAATCCACAGACACAGAAATCGACAGACAAAAAAAGGAAAAAAAAAATCTACAGACGCGAGCGGAAAAAAAAAAAAAATGTTAAGAAGAGAAATGCCCATACACACAGATTAGATAGCGATAGATCTACGGCGTCTACGCCGTGGGTATGCAGATACACTGTATCTGGTCGAGTAATTCAGAACACTGTGTCTGGGCCGAGAATATGTCTTCCCCCGTGTGCCCTTACTGCCCTTACCCTTCTTATCGCGGACACGACGCTCGGTCATTACATTTGTATTTGGACTGAAAATTGCACTAAATACACCTGCAAGGACCTGTGCTGCGTTCAGGGGAATAAGGGTTCTTGGTTCCCCAGGCAGGTCCGTGCAGGTGTATTTGGTGCAAATTTCAAGCCAGGTACAGATTTATCGACCTCGTGATCGCTCTCTCTTTTTTTTTTTTCTGTGATCGGGCTCTCTTTGTTGCGCTTGTTATCTCTGTATCTGGCCTGAAACTTGTAGTAAATACACCTGTGATATTAATGATGTCTGTCCTTGCGCGATCCTCCAATCTTGTACGATCCCTCTCCTTGCTGCGTTTCAGACTGCGTGTCTTATGCACATCCCGATCCCGATCCCATCCTGATCCCAATCCCGATCCTGATCCCGGTCCCTTCAAGCTTGTCTCACTAGCGGATCATCTGAAAACGAGACCTCTTTTTTTTTTTTTTTTTTTTTATTCTGTTGTGGTAATGGGAGAGAAAAGATCACCCACTCCTTTTTGTGTTTGTAATACTTTGTATGGATATGGCTAGATGGAAATGTTAATCTTGTAAAAAAAAATAAAAAAATAAAATAAAATCTGGAAAGCGATTCAGTAGTTAAATTAACGTGAATGTATGTGCATGTGATTTTTTCATCCCCCTTTTTCTCTCTCATTCTCATTGTCTCATCCTCATGCTCATTCTATCTTTTTATTGTGAATGTACGCTCTCTCTCTCTCTCATTCTCTCTTTCTCTCTCTCTCTCATTCTGTTATTCTCTCTCTCTCTCTCTTTTTTTCTCTCTCTCCCCTGATGATTTACTCTCTCACATTTTTTTTTTTCCCCCTGCACTCTGCCGTAGAAACACTCTACTCAAATCAAAGGGACGTCTGTTCACACGCTCTGTTTGTCAGACTTTCCATCTTCCAGCTTGCGTTCGCCAAAGGAACTTTGCATCGGGACGCTTTCTGGACCCCATACATTCAAATCGTTCAGTCACCTTGCTTACTTATATTCATTCAATCTTTTTTTTTTTTTTTTTTTTTTTTTTTTTTTTTTTTTTCCAGCTAATGCTCTGTTTGTTTGGGTTTCTTATGACTCTCCTGTGGGTTTCTTGAATGTGCCTTTCTTTTTTTTTTTTTTTTTTGGCGAACAGAATATGCATTTAAGGCGGTAAAGGCGGCTGGAATCACTTCCATCGGCGTTCGGGGCAAGGATTGTGTGTGCGTCGTCACACAGAAGAAAGTTCCGGTCAGTGTTTTAAAAAAAGGAGAGAGAGAGAGAGAGAGAGAGAGAG